GGCCGGCACGATAGCCTTCGTTTTCCGCATCGAGCGATTCCATTACGAATTCCATTACCGTCGTCCGCTTTGAAAAATTTTTCTTTTTCTCTCTCTCGTCTAGTTCCGTTTTCGTTTCTTTATCGCGACGTCCGCGTAAATTCGCGTAACGGCGGCGAATCGAATTCGTACTCACCACGCGTTCACGCCCAAACAAGCATGGCGCGGGAGGCATGCCCGGCCAATTGTTTTCAAATATAATATTCTCTCGCGGTTAATACGAAAATTACGTTTACCCATTTCGTAATAGGGTTAAATTTGCACCTGGATATTTTTGGACGATGGAATTTCTATGGTTCAGAATAAATCATAACCGGTTCTTTGCGAGGACTCTGGCGGTAAACGAAGTCACGATTAATCGTTTCTTGGAATGTTATCGCGCGTTGTCTAAACAGGTTTGGAATGCATGTACGGGACTCGAGCATACGTGTACGCGTTCCACGGGGTGGTTACGTTCGCGAAATAAAAAACGACAACCATGTATTTGAGCGTTCGAGAGTGTTTCTTTTTTCCTTGTTCCCGGAATTACTTGGCTCGATTATTGTTTACGTTCGTAGCCGTATAACGGGGCAATTTTCAGTCCTCTCTTTGGCTGTGTAAAAAAAAGGAAAAAAAAACGAAAGGACGAGGATAGCGAGTTCCTTTGTGTACGGCCGAGTGACCGACAGACCAGAGCCGCCAGGGTATACTCTATATGCGTTACATAAAGCCACAAGTTTGTTGCACAATAATGGGTCTCTATAAATAGCTCGAAGCATGCCGCTTCGGCGCGACTTCTTGTTTACATACGCTCATCACCGCGCCGCGTTACGTTCACTTGCGCGGAGCTTCGATCTATCGTTTACGAGCGATTCGATTTACGTTCGTGAAAATTCACCACTTCCCGAGCCACCGTGCGTCGTCGACCCACACGCCGTGATTTCTGTTGATTTCGTTACGCGATAACCTCGCCGTGTAGCTAACGTATTCCAAACATGGTGTAACGAACGCTGAACAGTGTACGCCATAGAAAGTTGAATGAAATAATAAGAAAATAACGTACGCGAACGATTTCACAGGCTGTAAGGTCTCGTTGGAGGTATCAAGCGTAAATGATTACGTTAATGCACGCGGCATACCTTACGTTCGCTATTTCTTTTTATTTATTCATGAATTTAATTATTTCATATTAAGCTACGTTAATTCAGTACAAAATCTATTTTATAAGTATGAGACATAACGAGATTTTTTCAAGTTTATGGATCTTTATATTTCTAGGTTATTACACTATTATCTTGTACAAGATATGTATCTCTTAATTAGATGTTGGTATCCTTCAGTATTAGTGTCCCTAGATTATTTCTAGATATGAATGTTCTATTTTAATATATTTAAAATTCAGTAGAAGGAACAAGTGTTCCTAGAACTCAATATTAGTTGAATGTTTGTAGATGTAAATTTCTTCAAACTGTAATATTCCTAGAATTTAGTGTCCCTAGAAATTTACATCTAGAACTCAATATTTGTAACTTCCAGTGCTCCTGGATTTTATTATTTTTAAATCTGTATATCTGTAGATCCATGTACTCCGTTATAGTAATATTAGTATGTCCCTATATTCCTAGTTTTATTTAACGTAGACGGTTTATTTTCTTTTCGCAAAGTAGAAAGGATTACTCATTTGTTGGGAGAAAGAACATCTGATACGTGTTTATCCTCTCATCACGCGACTCACCATATCAGCTGATTAAACGTTCTTTTATTACGTAATCTGTATTACGTAATTGATACTTGGCCGATTCTGATAAATTTTTCTCTGATGGTTTATCGACTTTTGCATGCGACGTTAAACGCACGTACCGTTGTAGCATCGTCCAATATTAAATTGAAATAATTGCGAAAAAACGTCCTCCAAAAATCCTTGATACCCGATTCATTTGGCTAACCGGGCGTTTAGTAATATTCCGCGTGTTTATTTTTATACAATTTAATCTAACCGCCCGCGTGACTCATCACCGACCGGCTACCATTTTAAGAATTTTTCTCGAACACGCGTACTTTTTTATTTATTTATTTTACTTCGATCGGTTCACGAGTTCACGGACCACGCGGGGTAATCTTCTCGTTCGTGCGAAATGTAGGTATTAAAATTCTTACGTAACGGAATGGTGTCGTTGTAACGAAAATTCAATGCATCGCGCAGGTTCTGCTGGTGTTCGTACGTACACGCGATCCAAAGTCCATTCCTCGTTTTTCTCCGAGATTACAGCTCGCGAATTCTTTTCGTTCCGTTTCAGTTTTTCGATATCCCCGAATTCGAGACCGTAGTCAAAGAGGGAAAAGAAAAGCGAGTAAAAGAGGTTTCGTCGTCTAGTTTTTTCCTACGACGCGTTGCACCCAGATAAAATTACTGTCGCTCGATGCCCTTATCGATTTTCTTTCGGTATTTACGTCAGCCTTTTCTTTGTCGGTGTGCGTGTACGCCTTGGTTATTATCACCACATCGTTTATCAACCGCTGAAGAATAAAACTCGCTTGACTGTGATGGTACTCTTTTTTCCAAAGCGCGTTTGCACGACTTAATAAATCGGTCGAACCAATCCTGACCACGGTCAACGTAGTTGCACCATATCGTGCGTACTTGCCTTTTTATACGTGTGCGTGCACCTATGTGTACATACGCGTCACAGCGAGGAGGGAGCTTGGATCGCGTATCGCGTTTGTAACCAACTTTAATCTCCGTGAATAAGTGCGCTTGCACTTAACGCTTTTTCGTAACGCCACTTAATTTATAATCTTTAAAAAAGAAATTCTTTGTACAGCAATTAATTCATTTGTCGATTTAAGGTTCGATTACGTCTGCTATTTTTATTTTCGCTGAATTTATTTCGATACCAATCGTAGATTAATCGTCTCTTAATTTGATAACTCTCGATTGAATATAAAAAATAAGATGAAATAAGGTTCTGTTGGGAATACAGGAACTTGTAGGCGTGAACTGGAACTTCATTTTCGAGTTAAATAGTTTCCGCAGGGAAAGAACCACGATGACACATTGCGGTGTCACGTCATTGTACCGCAAAATCTCGGCACTTGGTTGGCATCGTCTAGGAATGGACTTAACACTTGCTGGAACTGTATATTTTCAAATCTCGTTACCAGGCGTACTTGCGGCCAAGGGTTAAGTCCGTTGCTAATGATTCCTACACGATGCTCGCATTTCCCGACAAAGTTGATGCAATTTACGTAAAGCCCGAGACGCAACGCGCGTAAACCAGACTATGTTTAAGAATAAAATGCTTGTTCGCGTTAATAAATTACTAGGAATATAGGAATACAGATATACAGGGATTCTCGGTCAGGATCTTGGGTTCTACGGATGTTGGATTCTAGGGATATTAGTTGTGGAAGTCATGCAAATTTCAGGATCTAGGGATATTAGTTGTGGAGGATATTAGGATTTCAAGATCTAGGGATATTAGTTGCGGAGGATATTAGGATTTCAAGGTCTAGGGATATTAGTTGTGGAAGATATTAGGATTTCAAGGTATAGGGATATTAGTTGTTGAAAATACTAGGATTTCAAGAGCTAGGGATATTAGTTGCTGAGGACACTAAGATTTCAAGATCTAAAGATATTAGTTATTGAAGGCACCAAAATTTCAA